AGACATTAATCAACTCTTTGATAGGGAGACAATTTTTACACACAACACTAATGATAAGGGGATGATGACAAAGATCTACAAAGAGCTGACAGGATTCAAAGTAAACAACCCAGTCAAAAAATGGGCAGAAGAGCTAAAAAGATACTTCTCCAAAGAGGAAATGCAAATGGCCAACAGGCATATGAAAAAATGTTCAACATCACTGGTAATCAGGAAAATGCAAATCAAAAACACAGTGAGATACCATCTCACATCAGTGAAAATGGCACATTTAAAAAAAAAAAAAACTAACAACTCATGTTGGTGAGGATATGGAGAAAAAAGGAGCTCTCCTACACTACTTTTAGGAATGCAAACCAGTCCAATCACTATGGAAAGTCGTGTGGAGTTTCCTCAAATTGTTAGTTATGGATCTCCTAGATGATCCCGCAATTCCCTTTCTACTTTTTGTACCCAAAGGATACTAAAACATTAATTTAAAAGGACACCTGAACCTCTATGTTTATTGCAACACTATTTACAAAAGGTAAGCTATGAAAACAACCCAAATGCCCAGAAGTAGATAAATGAATCAAGAAGATGTGGTATATGTACACAATGGAATATTAGTCAGCAATTAAAAAAGATAAACTCACCATTCATAGGAATACAGATGAAGCTGGAAGGGATCATGCTCAGTGAAATAAGCCAGAAATAAAAATAAACATATCAGATGGGTTTCACTTATAGGAGGAATATAGAGGATCCAAATAAGAGATCAGGAAAAAAGTAATTATAATAAAGTAAAAAAGAAAATCAGCAGGCAACTATAGAGACATTTTGCATGGGTGTAGAAGGTAATAGGATGAAAAGAGAGCTGGGAAGAGCAAAATGGACTATGGTGATGGTTCATGATGGTACATAATGGTGAATTGGTGGTGGGTATTTCATGGGCACTATAACTGAGATGAGAAAGCATACACTGTATAAAAATGAAGAACAATGTAAAAAGTTATGAAATAGAAATTATGGACTGAGGACAGAGCAACTAGAACAAGGTTCATTGTGTAATGGCAGAGATACCAAGTCAAGTTAAAGACAGAGAGTTCCTCTACTACATCTTAGCTAATGACTTTGCTTTTATCCTATGGATATGAAATTTAAGAATGGACCTTTGACTTTCCATACATAATATAATTCTGATCCATATGTTTAAAACCTTAAGATTTTCATTTGAGTTGACTTTTTTAAGTTGCAATATTAATAGTTAAAAATTGGGATCAATGTCAACAAAGATTTCATTCATTTGCCTAATCTTAAGTAATTTGTGCAAGATACAAGTGAGGTAAATCACATTGTTACAGGAGTTTTGGTGAAGGATGAGTGAAATACATGCACAGATCCAGGTGTGAAGTTATTCTCCCCAATTATATAGTTATGTAAATGACTGACTAATAAAATTTTAGAAAAAAATAAAATTTTAGAAACACCACATGTATGTGTATGTGTGCGTGTGAGTTTAAAATATGCTATTTACTGTGCCAAAAGGAAACTCTTGCTTGGCAAATGAGCATATCTTTACTAGAACTTTAAAAACTTTATTGATTCACCAAGACAGAGACCAGAAAGAATGATAGTCACTTAGAGATTAAATATTATGTTAGGGCACTAACCTATGAATCCACACAAGAACTGTTCCCCAAGAAGGACTCATAGCTTGTGCTAGTCTCATTTTGGACCTATCACTTACCAACTGTGTGACCTAAGCAAATTCCTTCACCTCTGTCTGAATTTTAATGTCATTCTTATGAAATGGAGATTATGTTAAAATGACAAGTATATTTTAAAAGTCCTAGGATTTTCGGCTCTCCCTGGTAGCAAAACAGGTTAGGATGCAGCACTGCAAGCTAACCACAACCATTTCAGTGAGAGTTCCATCCCCATCCTGGAGGGGATCCACATGGCACTTCAGAGCTCTCGAGTCTCGCCCGCAGCTCCCCTCAGTAGTGTACTTTCTCTATCTGCTCCTCACTCTGTCTCTGGTGAATCCCCGTACTGCTTCAGCATGTCTGGCCTGTAACCCAGTTCTGTATGCATAAATAAATAAGTTTTTTTTAAAAAAACCCCTAGGATTTTCATTCCACATTAAGTATATACATAGTGCTCACAACAACCTAGCCGAGTACTATCAATATCTCTAACCAAAGTCTACCAGGAGCACACTCATGGATGAACAATCTGGCTTTGTAGGTCATTGCAGTGAGAAAGAAAACTCACCATGGGGAATCATGAGTCAGATCTCTTTTTTTTTTTAAAGATTTATTTATTTATGCATACAGAACAGGGGTACAGGCCAGAGGCTCAAGGGCAGAGAGAGGATTCACCAGAGACAGAGTGGGGAGCAGAGCAGGCAGATCGACAAAGCACACTGCTGAGGGGAGCAGTGGGCGGGTCAGGGGAGGTCTGCCTCGCCATATGAGTCACCTCCCGGGCAGGAGTGAGCTCATGCTGAAGTGGCTTTAGCTTCTCAATGCTGTGCTTTAACACGCTGCGCCATCAGGGAGGGCCCCATCTCTTTAAGAGGATATCAGAACCAAAGAAACACAATCTAGAAGATAGTTACTAAAATATTATTGAAAAGAACATATTTGCACAACTGTGAAGGTAAAATAGGCAAGCCCAAGATCCACAGGCAGGTCTTTGTCAGAAAGGCAGGCTGGTGCTCTCAGCGGTTTCTGAAGTTGTAGTCTACAATGGATCTCTTCTCATTAGGGGAAGCCTGAACTCTAACCTTCAGAATTTTAAATGGTTGGATCCGACTTATTCATATTACCAGGATCATCTCTCTTACATAAAGGAAAATGATTATGGACTTCATTCACCCTAAAAAATATTTCCAGAGCAACTTGAAATAAATGTTTGATTGCACAACTGAGGGCTATAGCCTAGTAACACATAAGACTGACCATTAAATTTTATAGGACTTTAGACTTGTGTTAGGTGATTCTGAAGAAGACCTGAGAAAGGCTTTCCTTTTTGTTGTATTATGTCAGGAAGTAGATAGTGGAGTGAGCTAATTCTATAATTGGACTTCATATAAATCTTATACAGAAGGAAATGACTATACTGAGGCTATATTTGTAATTAGTAAGAAGCAGCATTCATTTCATTCACTAATCCAGGAGAGGTATGTTTTGTCATTTTGGGCTTTTGTCAATGTTCATCTTTGGTCTGTGTTCAGACATGATTATGAGGTGACCTAATTTTCTGTTTTAATCCACCATGATCACAGAGCAGCCATTTCACAATTATGAAATTATTTGCATTTAATGATAAAAGGAAAATACTGAAGCCAGGTGTTGTGTGCCAGGTCAGCTCCTATCATTACCAAGACCAGGTAAGTACTAAGTAGTCCCCAGGACTTTTACTGTCTCGTCCTTCTTTAAGTCTCTGTCACTGTGAGGAGAGACAAAGTGCTGAGAAACTGAGTACTATCTAACCCGGACAGAATGTTGATTTTAAGCAGAAACTCCACTGGCCTGTAAATTCTATAACGTAAGATTCTTATGAAAAATGTGTCTTCCTCTTTTACAGACTCTTGACACAAAATAGTGGTTCTTTGCCCTGTAGGGAAAGAATTCACCAGTGAATAATAGTTGTAATTAAAGCAGGCAAGGTTTTATTAGAGAGACTCATGCAGGACAGTGCCAGTTTGGAAAAGGAGAATATAACCTGGCTCCCCAAAGGGAGTTAGGTGAGATATTTAAAAGTTAAGTCCTTGAGGTGGAAAGGAGAGCAGAATCACAGCTTGTTCTGGGTTGGCCAGCATTTCACTATGCACATGGGCTTTGAAATAAATCTCTCAGCAAATTGTGAGATAATCATTAGTCAGGATCTAATGATTTGTATCTATCATGGCACCTCATGGTCAGCGTGGTGGACCTAATTGTTTGGACAAGACTATACAGTCTATTAGTCAATCTATGTATACAACAGGACTTGGAATAACTCAGATAACTCACCCTCCTGACTCACAATTTCTTTTATCTAAGCTGTCTCAGCCCAAAGACTGCCTTTGAACATAGCTCCATCCCTAATCACTCACAAACTTCTGTGATTTTAATTTGTCAAGATAAAGCGTATAAAAAGACCCAGCAGATTAAAAGAAAGCCAAATTTCTGTCAGGAATCCCTTCTTTCCACCTCAATATTTGACTTGATGTTTTCAAACTAAAAAAGAAAATCAAAGTAATTAAACAAGTCAGAACTTTATTATAATCAACGTCTTCAGACCTCCTTTAAATGTAAATAAGCAGCACCAACACAGAGAACATAAAGAATCCACAAAAAAGGAAAAGAAAAGAAACAGATGAAAGATCAGTTACTGTAGACTGTACTACATGGTTTTATTATTTTTATTGCCTTGGGTGAAAATACTAAACTTTTGAAGGTGAAAAGTCAGTTAACTGTATTTATGTAAATACAAAAGGCAGAAATTCTTTGGCTACCAGCAGCAGAGATCTCCTTGGTAAGTGGATGAACTCAAAATTTAGAGAATGTACATGGGACTATCGAACTGAGACCACGAGAGGTTAGGGGTAGGTAAGCCAAGCTGGGAATCAACCCAGCGGACTACAGTGTAGAATTACAGGTGCTTTGGTGGTAGGTGTGATGTGAAAAAATACATCTGAGAAAGTGTGATGCTAAATCATATATGCTGTTGTAAACCAGCATTACCTCAGTAAAATATACAACTAGAAAAAAAATTTCAATTTGAAAGAAAAGGAGAAAATAATTTCATAGAAAATTTTCTCAGGTTCAAAGTAAGTGGAGGTTCATTCTGGTGGAGATCGCAACAGAACCAGGGAATTTCCTAACTCCTTTCAGGCCTCTTTTTACAAAGCCTTCAACTGGCAACTGAGGTGTCATCAAAGGAGATGTTTTTGATTGGTCAGAACCTTACCAGCTCTGTTTAGATTTCCTTCTCAGCTTGTTTTTTAGCTCAGAAGAGCTGGCAAAGAACGCATTGGGAAAAGATGGTTCTACACAGAATTCTGTTACTGGTGACCCTCACCCTCACCACCATGGTCAACTTGTATGGAGGTGAAGACATTGTGGGTGAGTACATGATTGAGGAGTGTGGGGACTAAAGTTGAATAGCAGGAAATGGAAGGTAAAAAAGAGAAATTGTCAGAGAAATACAGAGACTCTTCAAAGGCTTTCTCAACATTAAGCAATTATTTTTGAAAAATGGTCATCTTTCTTCAGGAAGCTAGACTCTTAAACCAGTCTCCTTACTACCTGTGTTATTACAGAATTCACCAAGGACATTGTTCTTTTTGTGATTAAATCCAGTCACTATAGCCTGGAGGGATCTATGGCATTTGTTCATGACTATCTCAATGATTAAAGATGCTTCCACAAATGAATATTTTATTAGTATAATTTCATGATCCCAAATTCTCTAAACAATTTTTAAAGTTTTTTGCATATTCTCCCTGTAGTTTATTTTGGGGTAAACAGTTCCAAGGATTGTGTATACTAAGTACATAAACTTAATCTCAATTGCTTCATATGTGTCACCTCACAAATAATTAAAATTAGCATGTAGTTATGTTTTTCTAAACATACTTTGATTCATGTTATTTAAGTTATTATTGGTAAAGCTTCATCTTTTAACAAAGTAAGAAATATTTTATGTGTATTTTCAAGTTAATTTAGATATTTATGATGAAAAACTTGCAAAATTAAATTGTTTGCAGATTAACCACCCAAATTACCTCTTCTTCTAGCTAAAGCAGTTTATAAGAGACAATAGGCAAACGTTACTCTGCCCTTACTTTCTAACTCTCTATCCTCTCCTCGCATATTCTTTTAACCTCTTTTCCTTCTAGAATCTCTCTCTTATGTCTCTATTCTATGTTGTTTTACAGACATGAAGAGTGCAAAGACATAATGGGGAGCAGGGTAGGTGGATTTACTCAAAGTCAAAGTAGAAAGTCCAAATTATTCAAAAGGGAAGTGAAAGGGAAGTAACTTTGATCTTCAGCCATGGTTACAAGGCTGCTGCATTTTAATTTTGTTTAGTGATAGAAGTCTCATCTGCTTCTCCAGCCATTCTCAGGTTTTCTTTCTTCTATTTCACACCAGAGTGCCCCAGTCAGGCTGTACTTATCCACTAGGCACAGTACACACAGTGCTTGGGCCTGTGATGCTTGTCGGACCCCATGAAAGTGTTTTAAATTATGATAAAATTGGAAGAAAAGAAGTTTTAGGGGACAGTGTTTTCATTTTTAATCCAGCCGAGATTATATTTGTCTCTTAATCAAAATGGCCATAAATTATGAGTTTTTATATTTTTACAGAAGTGAGCCACAAAAGCAAAAATGCAAAGAATAATGCAGCTCTGTTCACAGCTGATTTTTTTTTTAAAGATTGATTTATTTGGGCCCTCCCTGATGGTGTAACTGGTTGAAGTGCAGCACTACAAAGCTAGCCGCAGCTGCTTCTACACAAATTCTGTCCCTGGCCGGGGGACCATTTGGTGCAGCAGTCCTCTCCTGGCCCACCCACTGCTCCCCTCAGCAGTGTACCTTGTCAATCTGCCTGTTCTGCTCCCCACTCTGTCTCTGGTGAATCCTCTCATCCCCTGCACCTCTGGCTTGTACCCTAGTTCTGTACACGTAGAAGAACTGGGGTATGAGCCAGAGGGGCAGGAGGTGAGAGGATTCACCAGAGACAGAGTAGGGAACAGAGTAGATATATTTATTAAAATATACTGCTGAGGAGAGCAACAGGCAAGACAGGAGAGGTCTGCTATGCCACATGTAGGTCAGCTCCCTGTCTGGGAATCAAACTCAGACAGTTGCAGAGAGTGCACTGAGACTTAACACTTATGCCACCAGGGAGAATGCCATGGTCAGAGCTGATCTTGTTCATGTGATTCTTAGTCTTCCCCCAAATTTCTGTGATCCTCAAGAAAATAATTGAGAGTCAGTATGTACCTTGACCATATAGTGACCATATAGCAAGCGAGGCTTTAGGGATTTTAAGATAGAAAGACATCTTTCATTCATTGAAACCTTGAGTCACTTGCTCCTCCTGTAACAAGTTGGCCCTCAGGAAAAGGGGAGATTCTGGGTTCTCTGCCCCATCCAGAAGGAGGGTGGAGCTGAGCAGGGAGAAGAATCTGGAGAGAAGACTGAGGAGTAAGGAAGCAAGATGGAGAGCCAGGAGGAGACCTGAGGGAGGCACATGGAGCAGAGAGATATGAGAAGAAGCAGCTCTTGTTTCTGGGTCCTGGACTAGTTGAAACAGATGTGAGTGAGAGACCCATGGGGAGGTTGACTATGCAACATTTAATCTTGATTTTGATTTTGCTCTTTTCCTCCCAGACTTGTCTGGCCATTTCTGACCCTTTTCTATGGGTCTCTGCCAGAAGGTGCTTTAGACTTTGAGTGGGCTTTTGGGCTTGCTTTGGGCCAATTCCTTTTGGGTGGACTTTTACCAATGAGAGGACGGGCAACTTTGGGTGTTCGGTTTAGAAGTTATATTCTTTATGTTTACTGTACTGCACACTAATTGTATTAAAGATCCTTCCCATTAAAGATCTTACGTATTTTGTCTTGACGCTATGGACAATAGAACCTATTTAGACCAGGCAGGTTTGGGGGTTCAGTGGTGTCCCTCTTTCCTTGCCCTGTAACAGTCCCTCACACACACCAGAAGGTGCTCAGATTAAGTGGTCAAAACAATATAGAGTATATGAAAGCAAAGGACCATTACTGAGCAATCCAGCAAGTCAGCAGAGGCTGAAACTATATAAGTGAACTGGTTCCAGTTAGCCCAGCAGTGTGATGTTCTTCAATAGTCAGCAGTCCAGGACAAATTACAAAAGAAAAGAATAATTGTATATATTTACATTTGAAAAAAAAGTAGTCATGAAGATTCATTGCAAGGATAAGATGACTCTATTAAGATCACATTGGGCAGAAAAGAGGGTAAGATGGGTGAATATTAGATAAACTTGAGGGGAAAGACATTGGGGTAGGTGGTTTTGGAGTCAAAAATAATCAAAACATGTTAAATTAGGGAACTTACCCAAAAATTTGGTAATCCACAGAAACTTTAAGAATGAAGTAGAGGTACCTAAGAAGTCCCAAAAAGATAGCTTTATTTCAAGTAGGAAAACAGATCCCAAAAAGACCAAGGGACATGAAATGATAATATAGTTTGGCTGATTATCAGATGGAATATTTGAGGAAGAAGCTGGGATGTAAGGCTGTGGATATGCTCCCTTATAGCACTTACATCTGTGTACCATATTGCTCCTTTACTCGACTGCTTATACCATTTTTCAGTTAGCTCCTGACAACGAAGACCATATTTTTTTGGTATTTTACTCCCAGCCTCCTGTAATGTCTAACACCTTGTTGATCTCAATAAGTGAGTGAGGAAGAAAAGAAAGGACATTATAAAGGTTCATGGAATCAGTAAACAAGTTTCATTTGAGTGGAGCCGTATTGTGATGGTAGTCTTTCTGCTTTGGCATGCTCACATTTGAGGAAAAGGGTTATAGTTGACCTTTAGTCTTCAATGAATGAAAGTGTTGAATTAGTTAAAGGGAAAAGTTTATTAACCTCCTTCAAGTAAAAAAAAAAAAATAGAGAAACGATGAAACAGAAATCCTTAATCTAATAAAACTTCCTATTTTTATTTTATAAAGAATCAGGGGATTCTCCTTAGAGGATCACAGCTATTAACAAGCAAAGACCTTTAAAGCAGTGTTTAATTTTTATTTATCTTATAGTATTAATGCAGTCCTTGTCACATTGCCCCCTATAGTTAGAGGAAGTCTTTTTTTAAAAGTCCTGTGTGTTTTCTTTGGTTGAAAAGAGAGAGAGAGAGGGCCTCCTGGTGGCACAGGGGTTGTCTCACCACTGTCAAGCTACATGCAGTAACTGAAGCACAAGTTTGATCCCCAACAAGGAAACTAACCCACATTTGATATAGCAGACCTCTCCTGTCTTGCCTGCTGTCCTCCTCAGGAGAATATTTAAGTAAATATACCTACTTTGCTCCCCACTCTGTCTCTGGTGAACCCTCTCACCCCCCTCACCACCACCTCTGGCCTATACTTCAGTTCTTGTATGCATAAATAAATAAATCTTTTTTAGAAAGAGAAATCCCTGTGGAGAAAATATTCTACTCTGAACTAGTCTTATGGGGAGAGGAACCATAATGAATGTATTATTAAATGTCGACAGAATGAGTGAGAAAGAAAATATAAATCAGAATATAAATCGAATCTAATGAAAAAGAAAGCTTAAACTATGATAATTTATTCTTTTATTCTTTAATACTATCACAATATTTATCATAAACTTATGATGTCCCAAGCATTCAACTAGGCATAGGGAATACCAACAAAAACTGTGAAATCTACCCTTGTGGGGAATGTGGCTTAGTAGAAGGACAGACTGAATTCTAACTGGACAACTATCAATGAGAAGGTTTCAGGATACAGTTGCTGGGAATTTTATTTAGAGATTGTGTGTGCCACAGCCCGTAACACTTTAAAGTCAGTTTCTTGTGTCACTTGGTTTAAAATGTTTCTTCCCCCTCTGTTTTCCACCCTCCTGTTCCTTGCTCTACTCATCAGCTGACCATGTTGCCACCTATGGTGCACTATTCTATCAGTCTTACGGTTCCTCTGGCCAGTACACCTTTGAATTTGATGGAGATGAGGAGTTCTACGTAGACCTGCAGAAGAAGGAGACTATCTGGAGGCTGCCAGGGCTTAGCAAATTTGGAGATTTTGACCCACAGGGTGGACTGACAGAAATTGCTACAGGAAAATATAACCTGGACATCTTTATTAAAAGTCCGGACTATACCCCTGCTACCAATGGTATGTGTCAACCTTTCTGCCTCTCTTCATGGAATTTGTTCCATCATTCTAGGTTTTAGTACTTTCTTCATGAAAGATATACATTCTCTACCATGCTGTAAAATTCCTTCTTTTCTAGAGTTCTCATATCGTGTCATAGTGATTTCTGAACCCTCTTTCTCTCCCATCTAAACAATCACATATTCCCATATAACACAAGAATTCTTACTTTCATAACATAACCTTTGAATCCTTCAAATAAAAAGTTTCATAATTACCTTAATAAGCAGATTCACAGAGAGAGGGGCATGAGGATAAAGTACAGGCAGTGTAAAATGTTTCCCAAGCAGAAACAAAATGTGAACTCTTCAGCTATCATATGGAAAAATGTAAATGGGAAGGCCCTTCCATACCATTGTGTTTCCTCACCACAGATGTCCCTGAGGTGACTGTGTTCACCAAGTCTCCTGTGACACCGACTCAACCCAACACCCTCATCTGTCTTGTGGACAACATCTTCCCTCCCGTGATCAACATCACATGGTTGGTCAACGGGCACTCAGTCACAGAGGGTGTATCTGAGACTAGCTTCCTCACCAAAATTGATCATGCCTTTCTCAAGATCAGTTACCTCACTTTCATCCCTTCTGATGATGATGTTTATGACTGCAAGGTGGAGCACTGGGGCCTGGAGGAGCCACTCCTGAAGCACTGGGGTAAGTATGATTTCTATTCCTTTTGGTACCGTATTTTATCAGTACAGAAACCCCTACTTTTTAGCCCATGAACCTCATGATCCAAAGCTTTTTTTCCACACTTCAAGTATTTTATATTTTACTCTTCTACACCTGGTATGCCAAGTCTTATTAAGACTAAAACCTATATTATACACATATACATGTCCATCCCCTGTATTTCTGATTTCCACAACTTCATTTTCACAGAACTTGAAATTCCAGCCCCCATGTCAGAACTGACAGAGACTGTGGTCTGCGCCCTGGGGTTGACTGTGGGCCTTGTGGGCATCATGGTGGGAACCATCTTCATCATCCAAGGTCTGCGCTCAAATGGTGCCCCCAGACAACAAGGGCCCTTGTGAATTGAACCTTCGAAGGCAGGTAAGAATTCACATTTTCAGAGCAGAGAGTTGGAGAGACATTACAAGGGGAAAGAAAGTGAGAGGCGATTGTGGACATAAATGTGCTTAAAGAGTTGAGAAGGGACATAATTATGTCATAATAACCTCCTAAAATTCATCAATCTTATGTCTGTCTTGTTGCAGGTTTATTTACCTACAAAAAAAAGAAAAGTGGATGTGCCAGATGTCTTGTCCAGTTCATTACATTCCTTCTGTTCTTCATTGTTCTTCCTTTTACCTCTTTTCTGGGACTTAAGGTACTATGTCCCTTGATAATCCACATACTCTTTGGAATTCTCTTCTGACTGCTTGATTTTTTTTTCTGTTCTTTATTGTTATCTACAATGGTAATCTCCCGAATATTCCACCCAGTTACTTAATCTCTAGTGACTCTGATCTCAATGAAGCAATAAATTTTCCTTTTAATGAATTTTTTCCCATTTATCATGGAACCATGACTACTTATGCTTTTGGTCCATTTAATGTTTATCAAAAAGTGAAAGCCCGGCTCTCCCTGGTGGTGCAACCAGTTAAAAAACCGCACTGTGAAGCTCTCCAAAGCCACTGCAGCACGAGTTCAATCCCCGGCCAGGGAACTGACCCACATGGTGTGACAGACCTCTCCTGACCGGCCCTCTGCTCCCCTCAACAGTGTGTTTCAGTACATCTGCCTGTTCTGTTCCCCACTCTGTCTCTGGTGAATCCTGTCTCCCACCATATCTCTGGCCTGTACCCCAGTTCTGTAAACATAAATAAATAAATTTTTCAAAAAAAAAAAGTGGAAGCCAGTTAAGAAAATAGTAGAATAAGATAATACCCTTATCTGAGAAGAAGCAAAAATGTTGTCCTTACTACTTAGTTAAGGTAAGTAACAATGGGAAAGGGACCGTGTAGAAACCAGACATAGTTAGAGTCACTAGAACACAAGTATAGTTTGTCTAACCTCCCAATGAAGCCCTACTTGGTAGCTACATAGAATTTCTTTTATTACTATGGTATGTAATAAACAGTAGAACAAATATAGATGTATAGTGTCTCTAGACCAGTAAGCCTAAAACAGGCTCACTTAATCCCTATTCACCCTGGGGTACTACCAAAAACAAAAACAGTATCCCCAGTTCCTCACCCCTCCAGACTAAGGAAAATATGAGCTTATAAGAGAAAAATCTAAGGAGGGACATTATGATTAAGGTAATGCAACAGAGGTCATGTGAGCCACATTATTCACTAGATTCACTGTCCCTGGTGGAAACCCTTACAGAGGAAATGGATCAACCAATGGAGTTTCCTGGCTCTCCTGAGGGTTTAAGACCTCACTCTTAAGAATTTCTGTGACTTGGGCCTCCCTGGTAGTGCAAGTGGTTAAGTACCAGGACTATGAAGAAATACACAATCACTACAGCATGAGTTCCATACCTGAGTTCAATCTCCGAGTTTGATTCTGACCAGGGAGCTGACCCACATGGCACAGCAGACCTCTCCTGTCTCGCCCACTGCTCCCCTAAGCAGTGTATTTCAGTAGGTCTGCCTGTTCTGCTCCCCCTCGGTCTCTGGTGAATTCTCTCACCCTCCCTGCACCTTTGACCTACCCGCCAGCTCTTGTATGCATAAATAAATAAATATTTTTTAAAAGGAAGAATCTTTGTGACTTTGCATGGAGTATTTTTGCCATTTGAAATTGTTTTAGGTATATTACCTCAGTCTTTCTATTCTGCAACTACTATAGTCATACACCACATCTATGAAACAGCTATAAAACATATGAGGCAGTCCCATTCATGCCATCTGCATCAGTAAGCTTAAAATACAATTAGGAAAAAGATAAACTATTAACACAATAATTGATACAGCATAATTTAGAAATCTATATCAAAATCCAGGTTTGGCACTTTTGCTAGAATTTTAAATTTTATAACCCTGGCTGACATATCTAATATTTCTAAGTTATATTTTTCTCATTCATAATGTGGAATAATAATACTGACTGACAGAATTGAAATAATCTTCAGATATACACAGTTATTGATAGAATTTGAATAATCTTTTTATATACACAGTACTTTACACAGGAGGAAAAGCTTCAAAGAGCAAAAAGTTGAAATATTTGACTTTGGGTTTTTATTAATAAAAGATATGCCCCTTCTTTTAGCCCATAAATTTTTAGTAAAGGCTTATAATATGAAACAAATCTTCAAACATATTTATGTAGGGGAGCAGGAGATAATTAAACCAAGAAAACTACCTGTGAGGTTGAAATAAAAGAATAACTTGAAATGCAGACTAAAAATTGGTAAGTGCAGAATATCTGAAATAGAGGTTATCATGAAAATGGAGGTAACAGAGCATTTTGGGCAGGAAAAATACTCTGCATGATACAATAGTGGTGGATACATCATTACACATTTTGTCAAGAGTGAATCTAGCATACACACCTATAAACTTTGAGTAATAATGATATATATATGTAGATTCATCAGTTGTAGCAAATGTACTACTCTGGCAAGGGATGTTGATAGTCAGGGAGACTAGATTTTGCAAGGCAAGGACACATGGGAAATCTTTTAATTAATTTTTCTGAGAACCTAAAACTCCTCTAAATAAAGTGTGTTTTTAAAAACAAAGCATCAACAATAATAATGCCAAATGTGTAAACTAAAAAATTCAATATAACAAATGCAGGCCACCTGATTTCACAAATATGCTTTTTTGAAGCAATTTTCACTAAATTCCAATAATTCGTGAAGTAAGAATTCAACAGTTTTGAGGTGGTATGCATAGGTTTGTGTGTGTGTGTTATTATAAGAGTTATATATATAGTGGCATTACAGGCAGTATGCCAGAAATATAAAAATTCTAATCTGCTCAGATGCCTTCTTCATAAAGAAAGAAAGCAAATTTAATGGTACTTATATTTTACAATAGAATTCATTCCTTCATAAGTCTTTTATATAATTTTAAAATAATATAATTAAAATTACCTAAACAAACAAAAGCAATTACTTCACTTTATCAGTTATGAGCTAAAAGTGAAGTCCACGTGACTCTACTAAGCAAAGCTGGACGTTAATTGTCATGATTTTAAATTATGTGATTTTTTTAAGATTTTATTTATTTATTCATATAGAACTGGGGTACAGGCCAGAGATGCAGAGGGTGAGAGGATTCACCAGAGACAGAGCAGGGAGCAGAACAGGCAGATAGACAAGTACACTGCTGAGGGGAGCAGCGGGCGGGTCAGGAGAGGTCTGCCTCACCATGTGGATCTCCTCCCAGGCAGGTAGGAATGGAACTCATGCAGAAGTGGCTTAAGCTTCTTAGTGCTGTGCTTTAACCCACTGCACCACCAGGGAGGGCACTAAATTGTGTGATTCTTAACAAGCTATTTTGAGTTATTTGAGTAATATCAGATATTTTACAGTTTTCACTTTAGTAATATTTGATATATCACCATTAAAAGTTATGTAATTTTAAAGTGTTATACTACTTCAGAAGATAAGTTAGAAGAAAAATAGAGGATAGAGAAACTACAATTTTTAAAGCCTGAAAAAAATATAATAATTGACATGTTAGGCTTTATTTGAATTTATATTCATATAAAATAACTGTAAAAAAATTTTATGAGATTAATCACAAAGATATACAAAGAACTGATGAAACTCAACAAAAATAAACAGCCCCATCAAAAAAATGGGCGGAAGAGCTAAAAAGATACTTCTCCAAAGAGGAAATGCAGATGGCCAACAAGCATATGAAAAAAATGTTCAACATCACTTATAATAAGGGAGTTGCAAATTAAAACCACAATGAGATACCACCTCATACCAGTGAGAATGGCACATCTTAAAGCATCTAGCAACAACAAATGTTGTCGAGGATGTGGAGAAAAAGGAACTCTCCTGCACTGCTGGTGGGAATGCAAACTAGTACAACCACTATAGAAAGCTATTTGGAGGTTCCTCAAACTGCTAAACATGGAGCTTCCCTACGACCCAGCAATCCCCCTCCTAGATATCTACCCAAAAAACACAAAAACACTGATTCAAAAGATACCTGCACCCCCATGTTTATTGCTGCTTTATTCACAATTGGAAAGACAAGAAAGCAGCCCAAATGTGCAAAAGTGGATGACTGGATTAAAAAGATATGGTACATGTACACAGTGGACTATTACTCAGCTACCAAAAAATAATAATAAACACATGCCTTTTGCAGCAACATGAATAAAGCTGGAAAAGATCATGCTTAATGAAATAAGCCAGAAAGAAAAGGAAAAACACTGGGTGGCTTCACTCATAGTAGGAATTTAATGGACCAGGTGAGAAAATAATAATAGTAATGAACAGCTATATACCAGAGACATTTTATGGAGGTGGAGTGAGGAGTGGGATCAAAAACAATGGGGGGAGAGAAGTGCACAGGACTATGGTGATGGCACATGGGTTATTTGGTGATGGGAAGCCCAAGGGGACTACAACTGAGATGGAAAAATTCACAAAATGATGTAAAAATAAACTACTATTATTAAAAAAAAGAAAAAATTTTTATGAGACAATCTGAAAAATTAAACAGACTATGTTAAGGAAGTATTTATCTAATTAAAGTTTTTTTATGGAATTGCTGCATTTCTAAAAGGGCATTATATGTTAGATTTTCATAATAAAATACTTAGGAATTTAAAGTATATTCAGAATAATCCAATGTACATGTAAGATTTAGGGCATGGGTTTACCAAACTGTCAAACTGATCACTGTTAAAGCTGGAAATATGACACAAGGTCTGTCATCACAACTACTATATATGTAGCTAATTTTATCCATAATATATTTCTTTGTAACTGCCAGAAATCAAAGAAACAAGCAGATAAGCATTCTGTTTGAACTTTTATCAGTTTTAGGTTTTCTTCATCTTATCTGCTAGGAAAGCCTGACCACACAGATCCTGTCTAGACCACAAAATCCCTCATAAAGAAAGCTTATGCATAATAGCAGTGGAAAGCAAAATAATGTTCACTACATTATTGACTGAAATAAGCCCCAAACTTGTTTACATACTCATTAATTCAATCAATAATGTAAAAAGTGGTTATTGATTACCAGTGTTGTGATACCATACTATACTCTAAATACTTAATGTGAAAACAAAATGGTCATTATCTTAAAAGAATTGACACTGCAGTGGGAGGAAATATACACATAGGAAGTAATTTTACAAATAAATAAGTACAAGATTTGAAGAATTCTTTAAGGAAAAGAGTAATGTAATATGAAAAAGTAATGCATACGACATAGGCATAATTTAGTAGAGTTCAGAGAAAATGTCTGAGATGAAAAAAGTATGTGCAAGATTGGCTCTCCCTGGTGACTCAGCGGATTAAAGCATAGCACTGCAAGCTAGCACAGCCACTTCAGTGTGAGCAGACCTCTCCTGACCCACCCGCTGCTCCCCTCAGCAGTGTACTTCATCAACCAGCCTGTTCTGTTCCCCACGCTGTCTCTGAACCTCTAGTCTGTACCCCAGTTCTGTATGCATCAATAAATAAATCTTAAAAAAAAATGTGCAAAACAAAGTTGAGGAAGGCAGAACAAATATTTGAGAAAACTTTGCAATTTAAGAGAATTTTGACTGTTATATCACAACCATAGACAATGCAGGAGTATAAGAAGTGTTAAGTTTAGAGAAATTGTTGACATTAATGTAGGCATAATCTATGCTACATAACAATAACAGGTGGCAAATTAAGATTGCTTGTCATATTAGTTTCTTATTGTGCTATTTTAAGTTATGAATGGCCTTTCTAAAATATTTAAAATGTTCATGAGACCTATTTTAAAAAAGGGAAAAATAGAAAAGATATAAAATATTGAACGAAAAATATCTTCCATTCAATAATGCTTTTCAACAACATTGACCTTGAGAATTGAAGGTGAAATAGAGTTTTCCGCACAAGCAAAATTTAATTTAGACTATCCCTACTAAATCAGCCTTAAAAGAAATGTTAAAGGGACTTCTTTAAGCTGAAAAGAAAGGTTGCTATAGTACAAATGTAACTGGTAAAGGTAAATAAATAGTAAAAGTAGTAAATTAATCACATAAAGATAGTGTGAAGATAGTGTCAGAAGTGAAAATAACTATAACTACTATAATTAATTAAGAGATACAGAAGATAAAAAATATATAACAACAACACCAAAACCATAAAACATTGTGGGGATATAAAATGCATTTTAGAATGTGTGTTCACAGTTAATGTGCTATTAAAAATGCATACACAAAAGATAGTGAGAAAGGAATTTAAATGTACAACAGTTCTTAAGAAACAATTTGGTTCTCCTCCTGTGTATAGAAAAATGTAATTCTTCCCAACTACATTTCTCTCTTATGTATCTTCTTTACTGGTCACATAAAATACTTATATGATATTTTAATTTATAAGATGTGTGTGTGTGTGTCATTCAGATGATCAAAATATATTTCTCATATATATTTGGTCGTCATCCATGGTTCCTGGTTCACAATTACCAAAACCCTTGAAATTCCCTAAGCCTGTAGAACAATAAGAGCATCTTTTGTCTCCTTGCTCCCTCCCCCAAATTTTGGAATTCCTTGAGTGATAATAACAAAGGGAGCATCTTTTGTCATATCTGGTCTCTTGTCCTCAGTTCTTGAGAAAGTTTCAGAGTCATAAAAGTTTAAATGTGTGTCTTGTTATTCTTAATGGATCTATGTTAATAAAAGTTACTTGGTTTTGGAAAATACCAGACGGTGAAGCTGGTTGCCTGGGAAATGCACATAAATAGACAGTGGGACCTGAACTACCTGATTTTTGAGGATAGGTAAGAAACTAAAGTTTGAGTTCACTTTCCAATGGCCCATGATTTAATTAATCATGACTATATAACAAAACCTCAATTAAAATCCAAGAACTATGTATTCTATGTGGGAGAACTATAAGGACCACACCTAAGACAAGAAATCTTACACTGTTAAAATTTTAACAAAGTTGTAAAACAATAGTACTTCATTAATAAAAAAATAAATAGGTCTTCCAAATTATAAAGGAGTAAAGTGCCACTATTTACAGATCACATGATATTAGATAAAAAGAAAAAAACCCTAAAGATTCGACCACAAATCTGTTCAAACTAGCAAAAAAAGAAAAGAAAATCAGTAAAGTTACAAGTTGCAAAAATCAAAACCTTGAAATCAATTTTTAAAAAATGAATAGGGCACATATAAATGTAATGGCATTACATCCTTGTGGACTGAAATAATTAATACTATTAAAATGTCCATACTACCCAAAGTCATTTACAAATTTAATGCATTACTGATCAAAATTTCTGTGGCACATCTCATTAATATATAAAAATAATTCTAAAATTTCTATGGAAGCACAAAAACACCAAATAGCCAAAACTATGATAAAGAGGAAAATGTTGCAGGCATTATGCTTCTTGATTTCATATTATATTTCAAAGCTAGAGTAATCAAAACAGTATGGTATTGTAATTTTTAGAAGGCATAGATTAACAGAACAGAAAAGAACTCAGAAATAAACCCATGCACACATATCAATTAATTTACAATGGAGAAAGGACCGTCTATTCGATTAATGGAATTGGGAAAAGTGAAAAGCTACATACACAAGAGTAAAACTAACCCACTATCTTACACTATATGCAAAAATTATGCCTTCAAAACAAAATAATTTTACACCAGAAACAAAAGCATATTTATATAACATAGTGGAGGTTAACAGAGGATTTGTGGTAGGGGATGGGTGAAATGGGTAATGTGGGTCAGTGGTATGGTGGTGGATGAAAAGATTTTTGGTGATTATAATGTAATTTACACAGATGTTCAAACATTATGCTATATACCTGAACATATATTATAAATCAGTGTCAACTCAGTAAACATGTACTTTTAAAAGTTAACTCAAGGCCTCCTTGTTAAGCAATAGGCTAAAGCATAGCACTAAGAAGCTATTCACATCCAGCATGAGTTTGCTCCCCAACCAGGGAGCTGACCCACATGGTGCAGCAGACCTCTCCTGTCTCATCTGCTGCTCCCTTCAGAAATGTATTTTAGCCTATCTACCTGTTCTGCTTCTGGCTCTGTCTCTGATGAATCCTTTCATTTCACCCACCCCACATCTCTGGCCTGTACCCCAGTTCCTGTATGCATAAATAAATCTTTAAAAAATTTCACTCAGAGTTAACTGCAGATTTGACTATAAGACCTGAAACCATAAAACTCTAAGGAAAAAAGACAGGTAGTAAACCCCTCGACATTGGTTCTTGGCAGTGATTTATTTGGATCTGACTCCATAAGCAAATGCAATAAAATTAAAAATAAATGAGTGGAACTACTTCAAGGCAAAAGTTCTGCACAACAAAGGAAATCAAACAAAATGAAAAGGCAATGTACTAAATGGGAAAAAATTGCAAGTCATATATCTGATAAGGGCTTAATTTCCAAAACACAAAAAAGCAAAAACAAAAAACTCTGATTAAGAAAGGAGAAAAGGACATCTTTTCAAAAATAATACAGATGGCCAACCAATATGAAAAGATGCTCAGCATCACTTATCCTCATGGAAATACAAATCAAAACCACAATGTGATATCAACTAATGCCTCATAATAGCTATTATTAAAAAGATAATAGCCAGTGATGTGGAAAAAGGGGAATTCTAGTGCCCTGTTGGTAGAAATGTAAATTGAAGCAGCCATTCTTCTTTTAAACAGTGTAGAGATTCTTCAAAACATTAAAAATAGAACCACCAAAGTGTGGCAGGGTGGTCCCTTGGGAAGGGGGAAGTTCCAGGTTCCCTGCCCCACCCAGAAGGAGGGTGGGGCTCAACAGAGAAAAAGTAGAGAAGAGACTGAACGGGAGGAAAAGAAGAGAAGGAAGCTGAATGGAAAACAAGGAGACCTGAGGAAGCCACATGGAGCAGCATGTGATGAAGAAACCGTGCTTGTTTCCTTACCCTGGGCTGGTTAAGGCAGATGTGGGTGAGATACCTGTAGGGAAGTGACTATGGCAGTGTTTACATTGATTTTGATTTTGCTCTTTTCCTCCCAGACTTGTCTGGCCATTTCGGACCCTTTTCCATGGGTCCCGGCCAGAAGGTGCTTTAGGCTTGTGGCAGATTTCAGGCCTTGCTTTGGGCTAACCCCTTTTGGGTTGACTTTTGCCCACAAGGAGATGGGTAACTTCAGGTGTTTGATTAGAAGTTATATTCCTTGTGTTCCGTATTGTATATTCACTGTATTAAAGTCCTTTTTCATTAAAGTTATATATGTTTTGTCTTGACGGGGCAGATGGCAGAACCCACTTAGAGCAGGCAGGTTTGGGGTTTCAGGGGTGCCCCTCTCCCTGTCCTGTAATAGATTTGTTGTCTTGTAACAGAAGCAGTTCAATTTCTAGGTCTTTATCCCAAGGAAACAAAATATTAACTTGAAAAGATACATGCACCCCCATGTTCAATGAAAAATTATTAATAGCAACCAAGACACAGAAGTGTCCATTGATGCCTAAGGGAAATGTATTATTGTCCAATCACAGAAAAGAATGAAATATTGCTGTATCCAATAACAAAGATGGATTTTCAGGCAGTATGTTAAGTGAAGCAGACAGAGAAAGACAAATAATTCAGAATGTCCCTTATATGGAATTTAAAAAATAAAAGAGCATAACCTTAGAGATACAGTGAACAGTTTGGTGGTTGCTGGAGGAAGATTGGGGACAGGGGGACAAAAGGTAGTTGTATTGTGTATTTTAAGTTGCTTACAAAGTAAATCTTTAAAATTCTTATCAGGGCCCTGCCTGGTGGCACAACAGGCTAAAGCACAGCACTAAGAAACTAAAAGCCACTTCAGCATGAGTTTGATCCCCGCTCCAGAGGTGACCCACATGGCGCGGCAGACCTCTCCTGACCTGCCCACTGCTCCCCTCAGCAGTGTACTTTGTTGATCTGCCTGTTCTTCTCCCCACTCTGTCTCTGGTGAATCCCCTCACCACCCATGTACCTCTGGACTGTATCCCAGTTCTGCATACATAAATAAATAATTTTTTTAAATTGCCATCAAAAGAAAAAAATGTGTGATGCTAGATGTTAACTTTTTGTAGTGATCATTTACCAATATTTATCAATGTCAAATCATTTTGTTGTGTATCTGAACATGTTATATCTCAAAAAAGGTTGATTGCCATAATCTTGAAAAATATACTACTCAAAGTGGCCCTCCCTGGTGGCGCAGCGGGTTAAAGCACAGCACTGAGAATCTAAAGCCGCTTCCGCATGAGTTCGATTCCCGCCTGCCCCGGAGGTGACCACATGGCGTGGCAGACCTCTCCTGACCCGCCCGCTGCTCCCCTCAGCAGTGTACTTCGTCGATCTGCCTGTTCTGTTCCCCACTCTGTCTCTGGTGAAGCCTTTCGCCGCCCCTGAGCCTCTGGCCTGTACCCCAGTTCTGTATGCACAAATAAATAAATCTTTAAATAAATAAATAAATAAATAAAAATACTACTCAAAGTATTGGTAACTCATAATCATGTTTAATTATGAAAAAGTCCTATTGTGTACTAGGTACATGGCTTCAATTACTTTTCTTGAACAAACTGCAGAGGAAGAATGGAAACAGGAAACCCCTCGGTGCCTGAGTACTTTGCTGGGAGAGCAGACAGGTTATAGGTCAGAGTAGGAAGCATCTTCGCAGACAGATCCTCGGGGTAAGGAGTCACAGCAGGTGACCTGGCCACTGTGTCAGAGTTACTCCAGACAGGCTGACAGGATGCTGGGAGTTCTGGGCAAGGGCAGGAAGGCATTACAGAAGAGCAAAGATTAATCCCACAGTATCCACAGGTGTCAGCGCAGGAGCCCTGGAGAAGAGAGAAGATGGTCAGTACAGAGAACCTGAGAGACATGCTTTACTCCCTTTCTTTGGGGACCCTGCAGCATTAGACAATGAAAATTAAGGTACAGAGCATATGATCATCACCTCTCCTAACATCTGTGTAGAGTTGAAATCAGATAAAGAGCACAAATCCACTCATGTGTGGGAAGAATAGTTGCTGCCCTTTGGGGGAAAAATGAATCTCTCACTCTTTTCAGTAATTTACTGATCACTTACCTTCTTTCTACCACTGGTAATAGCCATAGGCAGTAGCCAATATGTGATACAAAATGCACATTATTCTAGTGCCTAACACCCAAGATGTGGTTCTGGTTCCATGTTTCACAAAAGATGCTAACAAAGCCATGGTCTACTTCTGAGTAACATCCTCAGAAGCTTCCTACAGAAATTGGGCACATTTTTACCCTAAATCTTAACCCCTTGGTAGGGATCAAGCCATTTATTTACCAAGACCTTTTACCCCCTCATACACTTCCATCACATTCTTCCCTCATTAACATGCCTCACACACCCCTATTTAATCAGATCAGAAATATTACCTGCTGGTGGAGGGCCACAAGTTCCTATAGAAGAAAGATGTAAAAGAAAGATAGCATTACACAAATATCCATTTTCTCATTCAACCCAAAGGGAAATGAGATATGCAACTTCAGTGTAATTTCATTTCCTTTCTCTCCATTGCTCACAGGCCTAAGCCACCCTACACTAAAATCCCCCCAAATGAAAGGAGGGAAATCAAAGCTTTGACCCTTTTAAAGGAAAAAGCTTTCAGAAAGGAGGCAGTAATGCAATAAACTGGAAGTCCTATGATACTATCCACATTATACCTCTGTGGTAGAACTTCCTTGCAAGCATTAAAACCAGATTCCAAAGTCTCCCCTTAGCTTCTTGGGTCTGCTCCACCACCACCAGACTCCTTCTTTTCAAAGTCAGGAGGAAAGAGGTACATCTAGAGACAGAAGCCTCCCTCAACAGTCTCAGGACCAGCTCATCTTCCCCATTTCCCCGAAAGACCTTACCCTTCTGGCTCCTGCGACGGATGAAGAGGCCCAGTCCAAGAAAGATCAGCCCCAGCACGAAGCCCCCAATACCACTCAGCATCTTGCTCTGGGCAGATTCAGACTGTGCCCCTGGAGATCAGAGACTGAGTGTCAGCATCTGTCCCTGCACTTCAAGGGGTTTTTGACTGAGGGCCTGAAGTCTAATCTGAGGGACAGAAGGTAGTGGTGCCACAGGAACCTAGTTTTCCATTTCAACCACCCCTAAGGAAGTGAAAGACCTGCTACAGATCCTTGGACACAGTAGGTGGATGACAGAAAGAGGAGAAATAGATGCCTGGTCCCAGGGCACATTCATGACCTCAAATTCTTAAACTCTAGTCAGCAGCCATAACAGTCACTCTTCAGAGCTGCCAGTGCTGGGTTTTAGGACCATGGTGTGAAGAATAATCTCAACTATCTGAAAAGGCAATGAGATCAGTATTCTTCTGATGCCCCTGCCATGGGACAAAAGGCTCACATCATCTCTGGTTTCTAACTTAGTAGTAATATAAGGGATAAGGATTAGAATGAGACAGGCCAGGGAAGCTCTTCATGCCCCCTTATTTATAGGGTCCATAGTGAAAGGAACAAACTGTCCCTTACTCCACTCCACGGTGATGGGGCTCTTGAGGCTGGGGTGCTCCACATGGCAGGTGTAGACATCTCCACGCTGGGGAGTCATTTCCAGCATCACAAGCATCTGGAAGGTCCAATCCCCATTCCTAATGAGGGGGGTGGACACGACACCAGCTGTCTCTTCCTGGTCATTCCGGAACCACCGAACTTTAACTTGACCTGGGTAAAAATCTGTCACCGAGCAGACCAGCATGTTGTGGTGGTTTAGAGCCTCTGCCTTGGATGGGGAGATAGTCACTTTCGGTGCCACTGAGGGGAGCAAGACATAAAAGAGACACAGTGAGATGTGAGGACACACAGCAAGTCTTCCCAAGGGGAAGAGTCATTGTTGGTACCAGAGTAGAAAGTTGCCTCTATTCCAAGTCTTGGGCTAGCATCCAAACCCAGCCAATTTATTAGCTTGAATAAATGTGTAAGTTAACTTACTTTTCAGTCCCAAGAGATAATAGTAGTCATCCCATGGAGTTACTTTGTCGAATTTGATTAAAATGAAGCACAAGTAAATTATAAATTGCTATATTATACAGGCCATTTTCAGTAAAAAAAAATTTTTTTTAAAGTAAATTTGCACTTCGCACTTCCTATGCACCACCTCTACTGAAGATAACCACCAGGATCAGCCCTAGGGGCTCATACTAGAACACCGATACTGTTTTCTATTAGTCCCACTGCTTCCCACAGGAAACAAAATCCAGCTGCTTTGACTCTCCTGCTGCCATGAGACCTCAGACACTAGCCATGGAGTCAGGAATAATAGACTGAGAATTAAGAATGTGTAGCTGTTTCTACTGCCCCATAAAATAGGACAACAGTGATATTCATAAACAGGTTCTACTCTATAATTCTTTGCTTATAATGCTAACAGAAATTTAGAACAACAGCATTTTTTACATATTACTAGTCATCTTACATATTCTCATCTTTTAGCTTAACCTTAGTTCAGATGACATTCTGTGGTGAAGGCCCCCCCAAAAAATATTTATATTATAAAATACATATACTTCCATCACCACATCATATATACCACCCATATAATTCATTTGTTGATTCATTTATTCATCCATTCAGCAAATATAAATTTGGGAAGCACTGGGAAACCAGAAAAAAAACAAACCATAACCCCTGCTTATACAGAATTTGTGTTCTCATGATCAAACACACCCATTGTTACCATTCTTCACATCTTTTACTTCACCTTTCCAGTTATTTTATTACATCTCTTATTCCTGTCATGTGAAATTATCATAAATATTTCATGTGTGTTTTCTTTATTTGATACTATAATGTTCTGTCACACTCCCCCACCCATCTTCTTTTAACATTAGGATTTAATTATTAGCTGTCTGCCCCTTGCAGCTAAGAATTTCTTTGTTTTGAAGTCAGACATTATTGTCATATATGTTCTCTGTAGAAGTATTCTGATATTCTTAAGGAGGTTGATCTGGGTTAATAAGAATGTTAAGTGAGGGCCCTCCCTGGTGGCGCAGTGGGTTAAAGCACAGCACTGAGAAACTTAAGCCACTTCCACATGAGTTCAATTCCCACCTGTCCCGGAGGTGACCACATGGCGTGGCAGACCTCTCCTGACCCGCCCGCTGCTCCCCTCAGCAGTGTACTTCATCACTCTGCCTGTTCTGCTCCCCAATCTGTCTCTGGTGAATCCTCTCACCCTCCGCATCCCTGGCCTGTACCCCAGTTCTGTATGAATAAATAAATCTTTAAAAAAAAAAAAAGAATGTGAAGTGAACATGTAAGTACATCTTGCTGTGTCAGAGGCAGTCCCTACGCCTCAATTAAATGGCTCTCATTCATTAGTTACCACCTGGAAATCATGTTTTCAGTTCGACTTTATTCTTATTCTGGTTCTTCTTCCTGGAGCCTGAGTAGAATTACAGTCAACTACATGGATTTATAAAACGTGTGCATCTTGATACTTGCACCCCCATGTTTACTGCTGCATTATTTACAAATGGAAAGACATGGAAACAACCCAAATGCCCAAGAATGGATGACTGGATTAAAAAAAAAAAAAAAAAAAGGTGTGGAAAATTTGAAGGTAGATAGGAGAGATAAATGATCTAAGAAAGATTCAGAGGGAGAATAGGACTTGCGAAAAGGTCTTGGTTCAGGGGCACCATACTTAATGACAATCTGACCTGCCAATGTTTTAAAGTACATACAACTCTAGACAGCTCTGACTTTACAGCTTACAGACCAAATGAATACCTGTGCACAGTCCTAAGAGCAGGATCTTAAAATTGAAATGATTCTCACCAGTGCAGCCAAATAACGAAGAACCTTGTTATCATTCACCAGCATTTTAATAACATCTTTTTTTGGAGCTTTTGGAATAAGAACAAAGCAATTCTGAGCAGAGTCTTCAACTAATCCATAACCATTATAGGGAGGTAATTCCTGAAGAAATGCAGAAAGCAAGAAAACATGTATTTGTGTTTTACATTAAAAGTAACAAAGTTTCTTTGAAAAAAATCTAGAATACATTTATTCAAAAGCAATTCCTATATGTACACATGTGGTCAGAAAAAATAACATGGCATAATCTGTATTTATAGATTTTAAATTGTGATTACTGCTCAAAGTAACCCTCAGAGCTAGACTGAAACTAGTGCTGATGTGCTTTGACCTTTTCTGCCAAAGCGGAATAGGCCCTACCCCAGCCTCTTCCCCCAGCCCTTG